GAGTGAAAGCGGCTTCGCGAGTTTCTGCGAGTTTATTGGGTTCGGTACAAAAGAGCTACGGCTAAAAATCGCTAGCTTAAAGGAGCCGCTAGTGGTGAAGTCTCTTTCCGGGCTGTAAAACAATATTCCAGATTACGAGGGAAGGTGAAGCAGGTACTGAGAGGGCAGAGGGTAGGAAACACGTCAGACTCTGAACAAGGGAGAACGCTGGAAAAGAACCAGATGCTCGGTACAGCGACATTTGATTCAAAATAAACATTTCAGTGTAGGTAGACTTTACATGACAATTTGTCAAGAAGTATCCAATATTAGCCAGCTTATTCATACACTCCAACTTAATTACCTCATCCAGAGAGCCACGTCTTAAGAGGATGGGCCTCTCCCTACCCTCGTTTGCTGCAATATTTACTACAATTCTCTTCACACAACCACAGAGGATGCCCTAGTTCACTGGTACCCAACAACCACAGCCTGCTTACCTGTCTCAGCGCTAGAGCGATATAATTCAACCATCATTGACTCAGGCAGGAGTACCACACAACAGAGCAATACCTACGTTAACTTTGTGCAACTTCAAGCTTGCTCTGCTCAAGTGCAGCCAACACTGGCTCATGATTTCTTTAAAGTAAAGCTCTGGCTTTAGATCCAGGTGTCATCTCCTCCTGACCACATGACTCATTTATTACCGTACTTAAGGCCACAAAGTCTTTCTGCTTTGCAAAAATTCTCTTCTCTGTTGTAGTTGGTTGCTGGGAAAATAAATTCAAAAAAATGAAAATACAATGAGAACACATTTCAAATTCTGAATCTACAACTGAGGTTCTTTAGCCAGAAATATCCAACAGCACAACGCCCCCTTTACTTCCTTTGTTCCTTCTTCACTTCGAAGGCACTTCTGGATTGCGTAGTACATGCTCTTTGGCTGCACAAACAGTCAGAACACATAAGGCCTGTGTGCTAATCACTCCTCTTCCTTCGTATTACTGGTCTCACTCTCTGGTTTCTTATCTGCTCCCTGATCTGTGGGCTTTGCAGCATTGTCTTCATACTGACAGAGTCGGCTTCGGCTTCGGGCTCCTGGCTGGTACAGCTGCATTGCTGGACGATCCTGAAATAAATCAAAACTACTTAGACTCTTTGATAGCCCCAATGCTATCGCAGTTATTGTGGCATCAGTGATCTTAAAAACTGCTCACATTTTTCAAAATTATGTTGATCTTGAAATTAACATTAATTAATGTTAAATTATTCCACCATAGCAACAATGAAACCTCAACCGGCTTGAATCAAGGTCGTGCCTGTTGCAAGGCAATGTCCCTGTTCAAGCCACACAGAATACTGCGCATATTTGAAACCATTCATAGAAAGGCTTCTTTTTATTTGGAGACACTAGCTCAGTTCACCCTCTCTCAGAATACAGGTCTACTTCAAAGCTTCTTCCAAATGCCTGAGTTTCATTTGTATCCAGTAACATCCTGTAAGTGACATGGAAAACTTGCATACTAATGCTGCAATAACGGATTATTTGCAGAGTGCATAAATCTGAACTCAGGACACTACACTGTGACCCTACACAGCAGATCCTCTAACACGTCCTGCATGTAGCAGTCTTGCCCCTGTTTTGGAGAAATCTGTTCAATCACTCTCCCACTTAAGAGATGCACTTTCAGGCACGTAGAGCATCAGCAGAGAGGCACCAATAGACTACTCAGACTCTACTGACACCTTGAACGTACAGGCTACTGGTGTAAGTCAGTAAATAAAAAGGGATTAGTGTTTACAATTCAGTCTACGATATCTTGACTTAAATCCTACACAGCGACAAGAAACATCACAGATAAACAGTTTAGCAAGTTTAGCGGACAAATGGATAAACCTTGTAGCAATGGTAAAGTTTGTTACCAACGAGGGGAGAGGTTTTAAGAGAAAAGCCGCAGGGCCCTTTCCTTAAAGTGTGTTTATCCTAAAAATTACAAATTGGTCCTTATGAATTAACATATGAATCTAAAGAGACCCAGCACCTTGTTTCTGATACGATCCCTCTTAATTGTATCCTCTTTTTTATCGTCTTTGGTTACTTTCTCAGGTTTGTCTGTGTTGCTGGTAAAGTCTGTAAGATCACTTTTCTTTCCCTTTTCTCTGAGCAAGTCTCTCTCCTTTTTCACCTCTTCCTCTTTTCTTCTGAAAACCTTCTCTTTCTCAAAGCGCTCTTTCTGCCTCCGACGCTCCTCTTCCTGGCGTCTCAGTTTCTCCCTCTGTGCTCTCTCATACTCTCTGTCTCTTTCAAAATCTCTATCTCGGTCCCTGTAGTCCTTTACGCACTCATCTTCTGACCTGTATGAAAACAAAACTGAAAATTAAGCTCAAAAGATTCATCAGACAGAGCTGGGAGATCAACGTAATTCTAGTGCAAATTTGCAATACGAAGATGACCAACTGCTGGGTTTCAGGGAGCTTTCGGGAAGCTGTCCTAACCAGAGCCATGCACGATAACCGGGGGACGACACTGGCTTCTAGCATTTCTTAGCCTTCTACTCACAGAGTTGGCCGAGTCTCCTGCGGCTTTGGAAAGCACCTAAATTTCTCTGCCTCTTCTCTTATTTGTCATGAGGCAGAACAGAGCCTTGAGCAGATCACAGAGCTGTTGAGAATTAGATTTTCCGCTTTGACTTTTTACGAGACTTAAAGGGACTACTAACTGGAGCATCTTTTTTCCTCATGCCACGGTTATAATTCTCCAATTTGGAAGGGCAGTGTCCACAGCCCACTCTAGGTCACCTACAACTGGGCTTCCATTGCAAAGCTCCTACAGCGAGTTGTGAAAAACATTAAGATTTATCCGTTTGTGAAGAAGTATCAGAAAATTCACAGAGCTTCTTGTTATCACAGGATGTGCACTGCCACAGACAACACTCCCCATGCATTGTATCAGAAAAAAAATTTGAAAGGAATTTCAAAACATGGTCAAGCACTAGAATACTTTTTTGCCTTCTCTTCTTTTGTCTCCCCATCAGATCGTTTGGCAGATGCACTACTCGCATTTTTTTCCTCCCTTAGAGTCTCTTTTTCCAGTTTCTTGGATTTTTCTTTTTTCTCCAAGTCTTTTTCATCTTTTTCAGGCTTCTTAAGTAGCTACAAAGAAAAGAGAAGTCTCAACTAAAAAGCTCACTCTAATACATATTGTCTGGCACAACACCGAAACTGTATCAAATCAAGGGAGCCAGGGCCCAGTAAGAAACAAGCATTACATGACTACAAATAGTAATACCTCTGAAAGCTGGAGTGTATGAGTAAGCATAATCCACACTGCAGACTAGGATATTTCTCCTAAAACAGGCCATGTTAGAAAGCTTAAAAAAATAGTCTCCATTCCATAGTCAGTTCATAATTCTGTTCTCCACAGCAAGTACAAAAGTCATGTGACAAGCTTTACATAAGACTACAAAGCACTACAGTATGCAAACCTTTATAATGCCTAACACTGACTATTACAAAAAAGTGCAATTTACTAACACCAAACTTGTGTGATTCTTCAAGGAATACTCATATACTTATATACAAATAACAGGGAAAAGGGAGTATAACAGCTTATAATAAAGAACTGTTCTAGACCTTAATCTTTGGCTCTTCTTTTGATCTGTCCCTTTCTTTTTCTGGACATCTGTCTACCTTCTTCAGTTTTTCCGCTTCTTTTCTCTTCCTTCTCTCCTCCTCTTTCCATTTTCTTCTTTCTTCTTCTCTTTGTCTTTTTCTTTCCAATTCTCTCCTCCTCCTCTCCTCTCTTTTTTCTTCTCTCAGCCTCTGTGTGTGCAAAAGCAAAGAGAAATAGTATATTCCCACACTAAAGAGTATCCCTTTAAGCCTGACAGGACACTCTGCTACAAAGCGATGTAATATTCCATCACAAAATATCTCATCTCAAAATCACCACTATTGCAAAAGAAAAAATGTCCTGTTGCCCCTATCTATTGTTGTGAACTTGAACACACTACAGCAGCACTTTAGCAATTTCTTTTTAGGCTGTACAAGTTAAGGTTTATGAGAGTGGAAAAAAAACCACTCACTTCGGCCTATCTCATTCTAATTTTAATTAAATCTGCCTCTTCTGTGATTTTCCCATTGCTGAAAGTTAAAACGAGATTGTGGTTTAGGAGAAGATCAAGGATAGGCATCATCTACAAAGACCTCTGCCATAACTGCATTAAGATGAAGGCATTAATGCAAAATCTGGTTTGCCAGTGCCACAGATGTCTAGCGTGGTACTACATGTGACCAGAACGCACATAAAGCATCACAACTCAGGCTCCTGTTCTACTAGTTTAATAAATGTGAATACATATTTTAACAAGGAAGTCAGGCCAACAGCTCAAAAATCAGACATTCTAAGGCACATGGATAGCCTGAGGATACATTTCTTCTATCCTTCTAAGCGACACCAAGCTCACCCACAGAAGGCCTACTTTGCCATTCAAAACATCTTCTACTTCTCTTAAATCTGGCAGTGAAGAGCCAGTGAAGATTCTCCTTTCTACATTCATAGCTACCTTTGTTTTGAAGGGAAAAGGGAGAGGGAAACGATATGAAGGCTGAGCCGGCTTGAAGAAACATATATAACATAAACAAAAAAATGCATAACAGTAGAGTCCACTCTCTTTCTTCAAAAAGAAAGGCAGAAAGATATTAATATACAGGCTACGGTATACATACCCACGCCCTGTACGAGCAAATTACTGTACCTATAAGCAACAAGAACATTCTAGAGAAAAGTCTTACCTGTTTATTTTTCAGGAAGTTCAATAAGGGAGTAGTCTTTTTAGCTAAAGGATACATGAAAGCAAATGTCACCATTTTGTCTCACTCAGTACTGTAATACCTAGAACTAAACCTTTACATGAAATGAAAGGGCTTTATGAGATTGCCTGGCCTATCTCCTCACACATCCAACAACAGGGCAATAAAGCAAGCATTCCAATCCCATCTCAAAATGTTGGTAACAATTAGAATTTCATAATTTGTTTAGGATGCTGTTATGTTATCCAGTATGTCTATGCAGAAAGGGTATTCAGTCTACGTTATACTTTTCTTAGCTTCCCTCTCTTGGAACCAGATACCTTTAATGTGCTTAAAAAAAATATTCTCATCCATTTTAGCCAACCAAAATATAGCTTAACTTCCGCCTGCACACAATTTTGCTGCCCACAGCATTTTGCATTAAATATTACTGCTCTCATGGAAATGGAGCCACTGCACAGCCTAGTCTGGCTAACAACCATCTGAATTTGAAAAAGGAGAGAAGAATACCATATGAAATTTAAACCAAGAGAGGAATCTAGAGCATGGGAGGCAAAATAAAGTACATTGAGTAATATCAGTCTAAAGATTTAATAATATCAAATAACATACAAAAGAATGCATAAACCTCAAAGTTCAACGTCCTGAAATCACACTACATAAGTCTGAAAATTATACTACATAAATTTCTCTTTGTGCTTTGGGAAAAACCTAACTACAGCACGCAGATTTCCATACCTATTAGCTCTTTGTTTCTTGCCTCTATTTCCTCCAGCAAAGTTTCAGGAGTTGAGGTTAATTTTTCATCATCTGCACTGTAACTTTCCAGAAACTTCTTGTACTCCGGATCTAAAAAAAAAGGCCAGAAAGACGTGCTATGGCACAAAAGAGAGATTCACATTGTGCACTGCTGGCAGTTTGGCATAAATTTGCCTAAGCTTTCAACTTATGAAAAGGCAACATATAAACAACACAATCCTCAAATAAGCTGCTGCATCGTGTTTGTCTTGGACCATAACATTTAACAGATTTGGTTATATTGCATCTGACAAAGCACTGCTAATAAGCTTCATACGTAATTAAGCAGACAATCAACTGGAACACTAGTACCACCACAGCAAAAATATTACATTCAGACTACTGTTAGGACACGGCCTATCAAGCGTCTGCACACGCACTCTTAACGCGAACAAACTAGCTAGCTGTTATACCATCTTCAATAGTCCCAGTTTTGGCATCCTTTTTCTTACTCTTCTTTTTTGCAGCTTTTTGGAAAGGTGCAAACTCTACTATGGCAGCATATTCCTGACCTGTCAAAAGGAGAGGGTAAAATATATTATAAAGGAAGGAGATATAAAACAGTAGGTATTGCATGTCTAAAGCATGAAGATGAGCCTCATATGAAATATGCAATACTAGAAAAGGCTACTCCACAAACAGGTGACACCATAAACAACATTTTTATATTTTGAAAGCTGTTTCATCAGGAAGCATTTTAGAGACAGCAGAATTCATGGAATAAACCCTCTCACTCTTTTAACTATCAGAGCCACAGCTCAAGAACAAGAAGGAAGTAATAGAGCTAAGACTAACAGTCCATAACTGTTAGTTACACAGTACCACATAAAATCCTCATCCTACAGACTATGTATTAACTGGGCAAAGAGAAGAGAATAGTTTAAGCTAAAGAGGCTGAGGCAAAACGCAATAGAATGCAACATCCATACATCACAGGCAGCCACAAGAGGACCGTAGTCATGGCTGTATAAGTCTAATGCAGCTGTTCAGTATGGAAACGTAACGTGTTGTTACGTCGCAAATCAGCTGCTTTAGAGAATCTCGGTGTTATTTGAACCTGGCCATGCAACTCTCCTAAATAAGGAAGTCCTTTGCGGACAGAGCTTTCCATCACAAAAAATACGTGGATGGAAGAAAATCCAAACAAGGGTACTTGTTCAAGGTGAAACTTTTGGCTTATTGAAGCCAACAAGAAGACAGCTGTTGAGTTATGACTTTCACTAAATATGTAATTTTTAAGGACTATGCGTGAGAGACTAGCAAGTTTCAGTGCTACCAAGGTAACAGTTTTGAAATGTGAACAGAAAAACATGAAACGTACTGAAGACCTAATGTGCGTTTAGAGAAAAGATAAGCAATAACTAAACACTTGGCTGTTGAACAAATGAGTTAAGCAAAATATTTGTTCCCTACAGATTAATATCTACAGAGTAGCTACTTTCACAACTTGGGACTGCAAGAAAGAAGCTTCTGCCAAAATACGTGCTGTATCAAGATGACTCACTCACCTATAAAGTGGAATAAGTAAGAATTTGACTAAGAAAAGACCAAAAAATGAGCGTCATTGTCAGGAACGTATAACATGGGGAGAGCTGCAGGAGGCAGGAGTCATTAACCTCAGCCTCACTTCATTTTGACAGGGAAAACACCTGCCACTTTCACCTTTTTTCAGACTTTATACTCAGGGGGCATAGGACATGATACAAATATTAACTTCAGGGGCACAACTATGATTGTCACGTTGCAAGCAGTGTTATCTTAAGTATACTTACCTGTTTCACACATAATGTTCAAGATTAACTAGGCTTGCTTCCACAAAGCGGAAACTGGTTCTGTCTAACACTGATACGCAGCATCCTACTCACTTAGGACGCTAAAGACGTAAGTGAAACACCAGGCAGCTCATACTCATCCCTCTAAAACCTGGCAAACATACTGCATACACACACACACACAGACAAAACTGACTAAACGTAGGGCTAAGCCCTGTTCACTTGCCTTTGTGATCAACAAAAACATAGCCGTCAAAGCGATCCCTGAAGAGGACTATGTCTTCCTGGTTTTTAAAGTTGATATAGGCTCTCGAAAACATGTGCGGGTACAAGCTGCGGAGAGAGAAGCACACCGAGAAGGCAGAGCTGGCAGCCGCGGCGGCGGCGGCTCCCGGCGCTGCGGGCCCTACCTGGAGTCGTTGGCGAAGAACTCGAAGTAGTCGTGCTCGGGCAGCGGCTGCAGGAGCTCCTCCAGCTGCTCCTTGGTGAGGCTGGGCGGCAGCCGCCGGATCACCACCT